GGAGTGCCCTTCGTGGATACCACGATTGGCCAAAATAAAAGCCTCCGAATTCGGAGCACCATCCGTGGATAACACGTTTGGGCCGAAAAAGTCTCAAGATTGGGAGCGCCCTTCGTGGATACCACGATTGACCCAAAAAAAAAAAAAGCCTCCGAATTCGGAGCGCCCTTCATGGATATCATGATTGGCCAAAAAAAAGGCCTCCGAATTTAGAGCCCCATCCATGGATGACACGTTTGGTCCGAAAAAGCCTCAGGATTTGGAGCGCTCTTCATGGATACCACAATTGGCCAAAATAAAAGCCTCCGAATTTGGAGCCCCATCCATGGATGACACGTTTGGGCCGAAAAAGCCTTTGGATTCAGTTGAAGACCAGCAAACCAGCACCTCTTGGACCAAGTTTAGGTGCTTCTAAGCACTGGAGAACAGCCTCAAGCTGCTGGAATAGGCGTTGGATGCCTTGTGCTATGAGTTGATGAAGAAATGGCCCAAGAACAAAGGTGTTTGATGGTTGAATGAGAGAGATATGGAGAGAGATAGAGGTTTGTATGTATGTATATCAGATACATGTGGTATATCTCTGGTTTTTCTTGCCTCAAATCTCTAACCTCAACAAAGGAGGAGGAGAGGTGCTTATATAAGCAATGCTAAGCTTCTAAGACAAGCTTCAAAGGGGCCAAGGGGTTCAAGGGGGGTGCAAGGTTTCTAGAGGAAGCTAAAACAGCTGGCCAAGCTTCTAGGTTCAAGCTTCTAGAAGGTTAAGGGGTTCAAAGGCTCACAAGGTGCAAAACAAACACACATGCACGTGGGGGATCGATTCTGTGCATTCCAGCTGGCACAGCTGGAATCCACTCAATCTGCAGAATGCTCCGGAAGGTCGTCGGCTAGCAAAAATTGCCGGTCAGCAAAATAAAGTGCCGGTCGGCACAATAAATTGCCGACCGGATAAATATAGTGCCGGTGGATGGCCGGTAAGGTCAAAAAACTGCCGCTTGGTGTCCAAATTGAAGCTCCGGAAGTTAGCTTTCCAATGGCGTAAACCTTGCATCAAAATTCCTCCTGTGAAAAAAGTTATGCCCTTTTCCGTGAAACCGCGCAGATTCGATCCAACTGGGATGATGCCCGACTTCGACTGATCATATCTCCCCCACCCGGACTTGGCTCTAGGAGATTCTTGAGTGCAAAATGAAGCCCCGGAAGTAAGCTTTCCAACGGTGATGGTCCCCCCTGTTAATATCTTACACTGAATTCCTACAAATCTAGTAGTCTGTATACCCTGAAAATATAAGATGGTTTATGAACAAATTTGTGATTGAGGCCAGTGTTTGAACATTGTGTCTTTAAGACAGAATTTTGTCCTCTCCAATGATGCTCGAGAACAATGGACGTCCTGTCTCCAACATACAACAATCACCACAAACGAAGAGAGCACACTTTTTGATTGTACAGGGAACCAAAAATGTGTTTTTCACCCACAAAATTTAGACTCACATAGATGAAGAATACAAGAAGAATGCTTGAACTTAAGGAATTTGGAATGAAGAAAATTGGAATGGGGGCTGACTTTATATAGGCTTTGTTGGCACCTATTCAATTTGAATAGAAAATGCATAAAGAAAGGACATGACCCTTCCTTTAAAATAAAGAGACACCATGAAAGGGTTGCACCCTTTCATTCAAATGTAGTCTATTTCAATTCGCCACTACTTTTATAAATTTTCCAACAATTTTTACATGACAAAATAGTTAATTTAAAAAAACTATGAAATTTATTAGTTTGAGTGGCATGGTAAATTGTGGTTAGTATGGTGTATGACCACATAGTGCCCCAGAACCAACCAATAATTTTTTGTCCATTTGTTTGGCTTAATCATTGTCTACACCTTAAGTTATTCCTTCAATTTTGGAGATAAAAATTTCAAATACCTTTAAAAGAAAAAAAAAACACAAAAAAAAATGAAGAATATGAGCAAAAGAAGAGAAAATAAGCACAACAAATAGTAGAGAGGGACAAGAAAAAAAAAACTTATTAGACAGAATAGAAGTAAATTGCAACATCTAAAATCCCATACATATATCTTTAATTCCCAAAATTACCTTGCACAAGTGGACAATTCTTAACCAAAACAACATGCTAAAATCGACTTTCACACATGTGAGGAATTACTGCTCATCCTAGGTCTAAAAATACTATTCACTATATATTGTGTGTATATATATATCTATTTTGAAAGGATAAATTAAATTCAAAAAACAACCTAACTAACAAACTTAGTCAATTAGAATCATTGCCACTGCTTCCCTCATTCTTGCCATCATCCGCAACTCTAACTAGTTTGTCAAGTTGAGCCTTGATCTCTTTTAGTAACTTATCCCTCCCATTTGATGGTGGTGGTTCTTCGTCCAAAACATTGCTTTGGGATCCTTCGTCAGCATGCAAAAAATCTTGAATGCCTTGTAGGCATATTGAACTACCGTAATCTGAATGACTATTGTTGATATGATTTTCAAATACTTGTTTAACCCTCTATCCTCTATTTCAGCAATCTCTTTGCCCTTCTTCTTAGCTTAAGCCCCCAACTGCAGAATGCCTTCACTGGATAGTCAAAAAAAACCACCAACAGGTTCTTCAATGGCCAATGGTAAGGAATGGTGTACTTCTAAACCTTCATATCCACTGTACTTTCATTTTCTTTTGATTCAACAATAGTTATGGACCCACTCTTCAACAGTTCATTGGCTATGATTCTCGGATCAAAACTTTCAAAACAGAAAACACTTATCAAAAACAAAAACAAAGAATCAACAATAATAATAGGATAAATGAACTACTGAAGAAAATACTGGAACTAATGGAAAAATTTACCTATAATAATAAAGTAATTTTTTTGTACCTTTCTGTTGTTCTAAGTTCAATTTCACCTTCCATCCTTTTAGCTTAATAAAAGCACTGAGCACTCCCTCCCTTGCCATTTTTCTACACAAAAACAGAAAAAAAAAATTAAAAAATATAAAAGATATAAGCAATCATAAAGACCCTGAAACCAACGAACAAACCCATTTTGTAGAGTTATACATACATATATAAAGATAGAGCAAGAAAAAATTACATAGAAATAAGGTTCTAACAATACACTCCAAATCTACATACATGCATATATATATAGAGAGAGAGAGACATACATATATATAGGCTTCGTTTGGGATGTGGGTTAGCCTGGGGGCTAAAGAGATTTTTTTCTTTTTGTGGTTAAAGTGGCCCCAACCTAACCCAAACCTTCATCCCAAACGACTATATAGAGAGAGATCAAAAAAGCAAAATAAAGAGAAATTTGAACCAAGAAATGAAGACGAGAATTTTTGGATTTGATTGGAACTAGGTTTCGTGGGTTTGAGCAAGAAAAAATAATGAGTTGGTCGGTTTCTATGTCTTGGACTCGTTATTTTTTCTTGTTGAAACCCACAGAACAGAGCTTAAATCAAACCCAGAAATTCACATCTTGATTTCCTGGTTCTAATTTCTCTTCATTTTGCTTTTTTTGATCTCTCTCTATGTAGTCGTTTGGGGGTTATTTTAACCACAAAAAGACAAAATAGTCTTTTTAGCCCCCAGGCTAACCCACATCCCAAAAGAAGCGTATATATGTATATCTCTCTATATATATATGTATGTCTCTCTCTTTATATATATGCATGTATGTAGATTTGTAGTGTATTGTTAGAACCTTGTTTCTGCGTAATTTTTTCTTGCTCTGTCTCTGTATATATGTATTACTCGAAATGTACAAAATGGGTTCGTTGTTCGGTTTATGAGTTTTTGATTGCTTATATATTTCATATTTGTTTTTGTTTTTCTGTTTTTTGTGTAGGAAAACGACAAGGGAGGGAGTGCGCGGTGCTTTTGAGTATGTGCTAAAAGGGCGTAACGTGCAATTGGATGCTGATCAACGGAAAGGTATAAAAAAAATTATTTTATTATTATGGGCAAATTTTGCCAATAGTTCATGTATTTTCTTTAGCAATTCATTTATCCTATTATTATTGTTGGTTCTTTGTTTTTGATAAGTGTTTTTTGTTTTGCAGGTTTTGATTCGAAAATCGTAGCCGATGAACTGCTTATGAGATGGTCCATAACTATTGTTGAATCAAAAGAAGATGAAAGCACAGTGGATATGGAGGTTCAGAAGTACACCATTCCGTACCGTTGGCCATTGAACCTGTTGGTAGTTTTTCGACTATCCAGTTAAGACATTATGCAGTTGGGGGATCAAGCTGAGAAGAAGGGCAAAGAGATTGCGGAAATAGAGGAGGATAGAGGGTTGAACAAGTATTTGAAAATCATATCAACAATAGTCATTCAGATTACGGAAGTTGAGTATGCCTACAAGGCATTCGGGATTATTCGCATGCTGAGGAAGTATCCCAAAGAGGTGTTTTGGGCGAAGAACCACCACCATCAAATGGGAGGGATAAGTTACTAAAAGAGATCAAGGCTCAACTTGACAAACTAGTTATAACTGCGGAAGACGACAAGAATAGGGGAAGCAGTGACAATGATTCTGATTTACTGAGTTGTTAGTTAGGTTTTTTTTTTTTTTTTGGAAAGAAGTTGTTAGTTAGGTTTTGTTTTTTGAATTTAATTTATCCTCTCAATATATATATATCCCCATACAATATATAGTGAGCAGTATTTTTAGACTTGGGATGAACAGTAATTCCTCACTTGTGTGAAAGTCGATTTAGCCTATTGTTTTGGTTAAGAATTGTCTACTTGTACAGGGTAATTTTGGGAATTAAAGATATATTTATGGGATTCTAGATGTTGCGGTTTACTTCTATTCTATTTAATAAGTTGTTTTTTTTCTTTTTTCTTTTTCATGTCCCTCTCTACTATTTGTTCTGTTTATCTTCTATTCTTTTGCTCATCTACTTCATTTTTTTCTCTTCTTTTTTTTTTTTCTCCCCTTCTAAAGGTATTTGTAACTTTTATCTCCAAAATTGAAAGAAAAGCTTAAGGTGTAGACAATGATTAAGCCAAACAAATGGACAAGATATTGTTGGTTGATTCTGGGGCATTATGTGGTCATACACCATACCAATCACAATTTACCATGCCCTTCAAACTATTTTGTCATTTAAAAAAAAAAATCTTATACGACACAAAAAAGTTAACAAGTTAAAATTGATTAAGTTTCAACATAAACATGAAAGTATCAAACCAAATCAAGCCTTAAATCCCATCAAATATGAAAGTATCATGAAAAATAAAGAGGACTAAGTTTAAATGAAATTGCATGACATGAGTAGTTATAAGACTTCTGTCGACAATTTAATCAAATCAAGTTATATTGTCTTAGATCTTTGTAATTTCTACCCTTCACTTGAATAAATTTTTTCATCAAATTGCCCTAGTGCTATTTTTTTTTTTTTTTTTTTTTGTTTTGTTTTGTTTGGCATCCAAACATTGAATTCTTTCTATGAGGACAATTGGTCCAAAAATTTTCATCAATGACTATTTTGAGTGGCAAGAATCAATATAATAAATGGAAAAAAAAAATTGTAGAAGAATTATTAAAATTTGAATATTGTAAGGCAGTGAATTTTATTTTTATTTTTTAAAATTCTTTTAATGGTTCTCATCCATGTAAGAGTTTAGGTTGATTAGGAGTTTACTATTTCAATCATTTCATATAATCGGTAGCTAATAGAAAAATTCATAAACCTTGAGAATGATGTGACAATGGTCTCTTTCGGTAAAGAGCTTAAAAACTACTTTTTGGCTTTAACTTCTTTTGGTCGCATCACTTCTTTATTTTTTTTTACACATTTTTTTTAAAAAAAATACTAAAAAACCAAAAAAATAGCTTTTAACTTATTTCTCAAAACAAGCCAATGTATATTTGTTCCTTTCAAAATGTGATTTTTAGTTAACAAGTCACTATAAATTGTCATACCATTCTGTTTATATTTTTACATTTTTTTTTTTATAGAAAGTAAAAGTCAAATTAAGCAATTCTCAAAGGGTTAGGCTTCTTTCATGTTGAAATCTCAGCATAGGAGAACTTAAGAGGCCTATAGGGCCCACCACAAGTCCCATTTCGATGATCCGAATTGTTTATTTTGTAGAGCTCTCGATGTATAATATTGATGACACAATTTAGGTCAATCCAATATTTGTAACATTTTTAATTTATAACATGTCTCTAAAAAAGTGAATAATCTATTTCAAAAATATATTTGTTGTCCATATTTTCAATGACAAATATAGTACAATGAAAAAGTTATGAATATTGGATCGAACTAATTTTTTTCATGGATATTATACATTAAGTGTTTTACAAAATGAACGGTTTGGATTATCGAAACGGGACTCGTGGTGAGCTGTATAAGCCTCTCAAGTTGTCTCATGTTGAGATTTCAATATGAGAAAAGCCCAATCCTAAATTGTTGTTGTGATTGAATATCTGTTTTCATTTCCACATTTGTAATGTTAAGATTGATTGTGAATTGAAGAGAATGTCGTAGAGCCCAAAGTTGTGCTATAATACTAGAGCTATAATACTAGATATGAGCTCAATGATACGATTGAAATCACAATATGTATCTATGGTCGCCGAGTTTGAGATGCCGTATATAAATAGGAGCCGTGTATAAGTCTGCTCATAATGGCTTTACCTCGGGATAAGATTGCCGAGAAGACGAGTGAAGTGGGTTGGCCGTGGCCGAATAGAACCTAGCATTCGGGCCGAATAGGCCATAAATCCTATGAAATGACGGGGCCTAGCTGTGAGGGCGGGGTGTCCATGATAAGAAAGTGGGCCCCAGGTGAGTAATATAAAAAGGAGGATCATCAACCAAAAGGGATGTATGTGTGAAAAAAAGATTACTTGAGATATAAGAAAAACTTGATGAAATACGAACTTGCCCGTCGGAGTACTAATTCTGGCACCCCTGACCGGATTGTTCATTCCTATTTCTGGTACAAACTCGAGGATGAAGAGTTTGCTTGGGCCAAAGGGTATTTCCAAACCACCTCTCCACAGTATCTAACCACTACCTTATTATAGCAGGACAAGGGGGTATGGTTTCAAATTCCTTGAATTGAGTAGTTGAATTAAATAGTAAGGGATATGCTAGGTGTGTGTCAAGTTATGTCTGTTGTAAGTTTAATTATTATAAATGGCATAATTCAATATTATGGAAGTTTATTTTAAATGGCATAATTCAGTATTATGGAAGTTCTAACTTAAAACAATATATATATATATATATTATAACAAAACATCACATAAGGTATAAAAAACAATTAATGGATCATAACTAAAATAATGTTATAACCAACATCACAATAAGTCATAACTAACAACACAATACGTTATAATCAAAGATACAAAGATCATAACTAAGGGTGCATAGGATCCATACTGCAAAGGGGGTGTGTACCATAAAATTTCTTATAATTTGTAATATATATTAGAGAGATAAAATAAATTTACGGTCGAGTTTGTACTATTGGCAGTTTTCAAATTTTTATAGACAACAAAATCGAGAATGTTATATTTGACACGACATGATAACACGACTCAAACAACAGACAAAGTAAATGAGTTAAGGTTGATCATTTCCTGGCACAAACATATATATGACACAATGTGATACATGAATATTAACATATTGGGTTAGTATCAAATTTTTATAACACAAAATTGACATAAATAACCTGTATAATGAAGAATTAATTATAATATTATTTTTACTAAGGACTATCATGAGATTTTTTAATCTCTTGTAATTTCATCTACTTGTTAAAATGTACGTAAAATAGAATATAAAAATAATGAATTTTTTGCCTACTATTTGAGTTACTCTCATATAATTTGAAGACAACAAATTTTTTTACCTACTATTTGAGTTAATCTAGTACATAGTTACTAATACATAATTAGCAAAATGTAACCCCTAATGCCAGAGAGAATGTTACCACTTTGAACTTGTTTAAATAAAATATATCTATGGTCAAATATGTGTTTTGTGTTGGTTTGGTTCTCAAAGTTTAACTTTGTCAATTTAGTCAAAAGTTTTAGGTTGAGTCTGATTGATTCAATTTCAAACAGTGCATTAAAATTGTTAATGAAATGGTAGTATAGCATTTTGTTTCTAATTTTATCACCTTGTTTGAAATTGGGTCGATTTGACTCAAATTAAAAATTTATGAAATAATTTGACAAAATTGTAACTTCAAGGATCAAAATGGCACGTAACATATACCTTAAGGACTATATGTGTATTTTACACCTTTTGTATTATTATAGAAATGTTGTTTGTTTGGGACCTATGCGTCATGGGTTTGAAACACAAAAGTTTGTATACATGTGTGCGATAAGATTGCATGCATCTAATCTTTCTCAGACCTTACAGTAGTAGGCGTTGGGTTGTCATTTTAAGCCATGCTTGATTGAGTAATAAATAAATGTATGAGTTCATGATACACATTGGTATTCAGCTTATCTACAGAAAATGCCTTATTTCATGGGTGTTTATGTTTCAAAGGGAAAGAAAAATCCTAAACACCACTAACACATTCTCAAACGTAGCTGTGGATCCAGGATAGTTGGCTCTATGATATAACTCCTTATGTTGTAATGTTGTTTTGTTTAATAAATCAGATTCTTATTTTTGCCACCAAAAAAAATATATGTTAGCACTCTTTTGTAACAAAATAAACACAATTATCACATGTTAAGATTTCAGTGACTCACTCACTGCATTGTATTTAGCTAAAAGCATAATGATGATCTATGTTTGTCAATGAATAACATTTACTGCATAACTCTTGTGATGGGATTGAAGTAATATTTTCTCGTATGATGTGTTCTAAATATTTAAAATTACTTATCACATGTTAAGGTATCAGCGGATAAACATAATTTCAGCGAGAGAATTGAGGATAGAATAATTCTTCTAAAAATGCAAAGAGAGACATGCACACTTGAATTGAATTGCAAATAGGCCATATGGTAAGTGAGGTAAGTCATACTAATGATGCAAAGCTAAAAAGGCAATAATATTATTAAGTACTAATTACTGAGAAGAATCTAACAAGCTTTCATATGAATATGCTATGCTACCACATTTTAGTGGCTATTTAACATGACCAAAAAAAAAAAAAAATACATTGGCTAGACAAAATTTTAGTGGCTATTTACCATGGAGTGAAAAAAACCAATAAAAAGGGAAGGAGATTTTCCTTCTCACTTGAATGAATAAATTTATTTTTCATTGAACAAGTCTCGTTGTATGTGATGTGGAATTCACTTTGTGAGTAATTTAGGCAAAAACTTTGTTGGTGTCTGTAAGTTTTATTTATTTATTTATTTTTAGGGTAATTACATACCAATGGAATTTTAAAAAAAAAAATATGATGAAAAACTCTATAATTTTTATTATCAATATTTATAAATTTTTTTTACTGAATTGTAATTATTTTTTCAATAGTCAATTGATTTGATATATATATATTTTTTTTTTTTGAGTTTAGATATGAACACTTTCTTAATTATCGTTAAATATCATTTTATTTTTTAATTTTAAAATTATACATTTGTATTACTCTCCTATTGAGGGCCGAAAATGTTCTTTTACCCTCTAATTTGGAGGAGAATTTAGAGTGCTACTAAATGTCCCTACCTTTCTATTTTGGACCCTCCCACTTCTTTGACCTCCCACTTTCTAAAAGTGTTATGTCCCTATATTTCAAGTAATTCTATTTTCACACACTTATTCATCTCTGTGTACACAATTAATGAAACATAATTTTAATGACAATTACACC